GAAAATGAAGATATGAAGGAACTAAAGGACTGGGTGGAAACCGAGAAGCAACAAAGGGAGGCATTAGATCATAAGGAAACAGAGAATAGATCAGATGAAGTTCCTAGTAGGGAGGAGAATGACAGAGGCCTCAATCAGATATATGAGAAAGAAGAAAATGTGGAGGGACAGCAAGAGGAACGGCACAGGGCAGAATGTGAAATGAAACGAGGTTGGAACCTAGAAGAATACGAGGAGAAACTAAATGATTTGCACAGGGGAGAAATATCAGGCGAAGATGGTGAGACAGAAAAGAATGAGAAGCTGGAAAAACTTGTGGATGATGAGGAGATACTAAAAAAAAGTGATCAGATGAATGGACCTGAAGAAAACGCAGAACTTCCAGTCCAGGAGTTGGAGGAAAATGAAGATATGAAGGGACTAAAAGATGCTCAGGACTGGGTGGAAACCGAGAAGAAACAAAGGGAGGCACTAGATCATAGGGAAACAGAGAATAGATCAGATGAAGTTCCTATTGGAGAAGAGAGCGATGGAGGTGTCGATCAGATATATAAGAAGAAAGAAAACATGGAGGGACAGCAAAAAGAATGGGACAGGGTAGAATGTGAAATGAAACAAGGAGGTTGGAACCTTGAAGAAAATGAGAAACTAAATGACTTGCACAGAAGAGAAATATTAGGCGACGAGGGTAAGACAGAAGAGAGTGAGAAGCCAGAAGAACTCATGGATGATGAGGAAATACTCAAAAAGAGTGATAAGATGAATGAAACTGAGAATAGAGAAGAGAAGGCACGCGAAGGGATAGAAACTGAGAGGATAAGATCCAAGAGTTGCCTGGGGGAACAAGATGAGAAGACCGTGGAAGTGACTGAACAGGCCTTAAGATACGAGGGGGACAATCTTGAAATGGCCGAGGATGCAAATGAGCAGGATGAAAATGAGAACCTGGGTGGGAGTGACAATGCCTTGGGATGTAAAATAAACTATGCTGTTGGGGATTTAAAGGCAGAGGTACTTGCTGCCAAGGAGAATGGAAGGGTAATGGGGGTAACTCAATCTTCCCCTCTATTAGAAGGGACCGAGGAGGAGTCAGAGGCAGTTGAAGATGTGAACAACCTGGAGCAACAGCATTGTGAAATTGCAGGCCTCACTCAATTCATTGGAGTCGATAGGATTAAGAAGCAAAATGCAGATGTGACTGAGGCTCTTCTTAATGGAGAAAATGGGATATATTTAGGTGAAAATGACATTAACTTTGAAGACAAGCAAAATGAGCATCATTTGACAGAATACAAGAACATGTCCAGTCAGGAAAAATGTTTTGAAGATGTAACTAATGAAATGGATGATAATGGTAATGTTGATATCTGTGAACCTGAAGTTGGCACAGATAATGAAGAAAGTGAGAAGAGTTCGATATCATCTCACAATGAAAGATGGTCCAGTGACGAGACAGAATCACTTCATGATCCAGAGTGTTGTGTTGAAGAAGCTGCTCACGAATTGGGAGAAAATAATAATGATGTCAAGGATTCTGAAGTTGCAACAAATCATGAAAAAGACAAGAATTCTTTTGAATCTTCTGATGAAGATAGATGGGTAGGTAATGGTGTAGATAGTGAAGCAAGTCAGCAACCTATATTCAAAGGGCAAGGGAAGACCACAGAGGAGATATCCTTGGGAGAGGAACCGAACCAAAGCACCAGCAAGAAAGAGGAGAATCATTGCAAGAATCCAGCAATAGAAGAGAAGGAAGCTGAAGATAATTTGCAAAGGAAATTGGAGGTGGAGAAGAAACACTTCAGTAAAAAGGAAGAGGTAAAAGTGAGGGAAATAGAAAGAGCAAAAGAGAGAATAGCTGTCGAAAGGGCAATACAAGAAGCTCGTGAAAGGGCTTTTGCAGAAGCCCGAGAAAGGGCTGCTGTCAAGAGAGCAGCTGCAGCTGCAGAAGCTCATCAAAGGTTAAAGGCTGAGGTCAAAGAAAGGCTAGGAAAGGCTCTTCTAGAGGCCAATAATAATAAGTTGGCAGCTGAGAAGGCCTCATTTGAAGCCAAACTAAAAGCTGAACGTGCTGCAGTAGAGAGAGCAACCGCAGAGGCCAGGCAGCGTGCCCTAGAAAAAGCTTTGTCTGGGAAGGTTGCTTTTAAAGCAAGAAATCAGGCTGAAAAGCCTGCAGCTGAGAGATTTTCAAGCATTTCAAAAGATAATGGGATGAATTCCAGAGTTAGTGTCTTTACTTGTATTTTCATTGCTTTTTTATGCTATTCGTAAAAGCATTTGGCATGGAAAATTAACTGTTGCGGAATTTCTAGCAGGATAAACAATGCAATGACCCAGGTCCTTCTAGCAGTTCAAGGTATCCAGGCTCTTCAAATCATGGTGGTGAGTACCTTAATATGGTATATAGAAGGCTCTATCATTTCATAGGGATATTGAACTTACATGGGCTTCTGTGCTGCTCCTAAGCAATACATTCACCTTTTTATTTCCCCACTCAACAGAAAGATTTAATGGAGGTAATGATGAATCCGCTCCAAGGAATAAAGCCACATTGGAAAGGCATCAAAGAACAGCAGAGCGTGCCGTATGCTTCTTGCACCTGATTCAGATATAGGAATTTTAATTCTTCTTCTTGCACCTGATTCAGATATAGGAATTTTAATTCTTCGACTTCTGACTAGTATGCTTCTTTTTTTTGTTCTCTTCCAGGCAAAAGCTCTCGGAGAGAAGAATATGCGCGACCTTCTTGCTCAGAAAGAGCAGGCAGAAAGAAATGTAACTAGCTGCTCAAATAAGATAAGAAAACATTTCTAATTTCATTAGTTTTTAAATGCTTTTCTCACTGTCTTCTATTGAATATCGATGGCAGAGACTGGCAGAAACTTTGGAAGCTGATGTCAAGAGATGGTCAAGTGGGAAGGAGAGGAACTTGCGTGCTCTGCTTTCAACACTGCCATATGTGTGTTGAAACCTTCCCGCTTATACCCGTCCATAAGTTCTATAAATTCACTCCATGATGCATTACGGATTTATGATTTTCTTCACAATTTATTGACCTTACATTTACTAGCTAACTTATTAGATCACTTTTCTTGATTTTAATACGTTATAAATTGATTATTTGTTATGTTTAAAATAATTATCCCGTTGTGCTCAAATGGGATTATCTCATGCGCTATCCACTTGAAGCTTCTTTTTCTAACGGTATTTTCCCTTGCTTGCAGATCCTTGGCCCTGATAGTGGCTGGCAGCCAATTCCTTTGACTGAACTTGTGTCAAGTACTGCTGTGAAAAAAGCTTACCGCAAGGCCACGCTATTTGTTCACCCTGACAAGTTGCAACAACGTGGTGCAAGCATACAGCTGAAATACACCTGTGAGAAGGTTTTTGATCTTCTAAAGGTGTGCTACCGTTTCCTCTTCTCATAGGAAGTTTATCTGTAGCTTGTCATGGCCTAGTAGGACTAAAGCATGGATAATTGCAGACGTCTTGGTCTTTAACTTCAAAAATGGCACTTAACATATTGCATCCAGGATGGAAACTAAGCCTTAATGCCATGCAGCTGTTATGTGTTTCATCCTTTTCTCTGCCCCTGAATTGTTGAAGTGATGCTCTTTTATTTATTTTATTTTTTCTCCCAGGATGCTTGGAACAAATTCAGTGCAGAAGAACGGTAGACAATGTCAAGTCTCATCCTTAAGGTTGCATTCTCTGGAGAGAAAATTCATGTCCAAGTTTGCATCCTCAATCCTTTAGTGTAGGCAATACACACCCACATTTGTATCCTTGGTCTATAATACTTAGGCCATTTCTTGTAGTGCCCTCACATGCCCATTTATATGCAATTTCAAAGCTGTCAAAAGGGGTCCATGCTGCTAGTTCATACTTCAATGTGCCTCTGGTTTGATCCAGACCAAAAAATGCGGGGTGGGGAATGTTAAGCATAGATATAATATGCAGAAACTATAAATCTTCAAACGGACAATGGTAACTTAATTGCAGCTCCCTTTATTGTTCAAGTTTCCACAGAAAAGCAAATGCACGGATTCCACCCGCAAGATTCTACGTCCCTTCAGATTAAATGAAGTTACGGACTAGGATGCTTTGGGATTTGGGTATGGCTGATCTGAGATCGCAAGCCAAGCATGTACAGCCTGATTGCATTATCTTGCACGCTTGATCACTTGGAATATTTTTCAAATTTCATTTCATTTTATGCAAGAATTTAATAATTAATATTATTTAAGAATATTCTTAATTGCATCATCTTGCACGCTTGATCACTTGGAATATCTTTTAAATTTTATTTTATTTTATGCAAGGATTTAATAATTAATATTATTTAAGAATATATAAAATATTTTTTTAAAAAATTATTTACGATGATGAATTCTTTCTTAGTTATTTAAATATTTTCATATAATTTATGTTATATTTATTGTCTGTTATTTTGTTATTTTTATTAAAATAATATATAAAAAGATTTTTTATATAAAATAATTTAATAATATCAAGTAAATAAAAATAAAATGCCTGGCAGTAGATTGTTTTTGCAAACGCACAATGAATAAGCCTGAAACTAACAGTAAATTGGGTTTTACTTATTTCCTGCATGAGAAGCTTAAAACCTTGTTGTAATCAATAGTTTTGGAAAAAAGCAGCATATATGCCTGAAATCCTACTTGATGACAAGATGCAGCCTCTTCCTTTTGCCCGATGCAGGCCACGCATCAGAGCACACAACATCAGCTCCCCTAACGGATTCCTGTGGGTCTTTAGTGTTATGCGTGTGGATACAAATGGAAGGTGGCAGCCATGGTAAGTAAATATTTTCATATAATTTATGTTATATTTATTGTCTGTTATTTTGTTATTTTTATTAAAATAATATATAAAAAGATTTTTTATATAAAATAATTTAATAATATCAAGTAAATAAAAATAAAATGCCTGGCAGTAGATTGTTTTTGCAAACGCACAATGAATAAGCCTGAAACTAACAGTAAATTGGGTTTTACTTATTTCCTGCATGAGAAGCTTAAAACCTTGTTGTAATCAATAGTTTTGGAAAAAAGCAGCATATATGCCTGAAATCCTACTTGATGACAAGATGCAGCCTCTTCCTTTTGCCCGATGCAGGCCACGCATCAGAGCACACAACATCAGCTCCCCTAACGGATTCCTGTGGGTCTTTAGTAATCTCAAATTTTCCGATCCCAAAGTGTTGTGTCTTTTATACAGTTTCCGCATCAGGCTCAAAACCTTTCGGGCAAGCACAGACAAAGTGGAAAGGAATCACAGCAAACCAAGAGTATACAACGTTATTCCTGACTCCAACATAAACAACCTGAATTTGTAGCAGTAGACAGATTCAGCTTAGAATCGTATGCAACTCATGTAGTGCAAAGACAAAATAAGCATACATAGAAAGCATGATGAAATAACCTTGGTTCCTTCCAACCGGCCAACATGTTCAATTTTCATGAGAGCATCAGCCATTGTTTGGCAAAGATGGTCGTTCAGTCAGGCTATTAATAACAGGTACTGTTGCATATTATGCCAGGTCAGGGATGTCCAGCAAAAGAATAAGTAAGCAACTGCATTTGCAAATACGCCGTGCAAGGAAATACCTTTAAAGGTAGCTTAAAAACACCTCAAAATCCCTAACCACTCACTCGTTTCCAAGCCACAAACCTTAATCAAATTCCGAGCAACTCAGTTTACGCAACCCCACATGCATGCATGAAAGGAATTAAACATAAATGAACTATCAGAATGAATTTAAATTACAATAAACATTAAAAAAAAAAAACTACCAGCATACCTTATGAGCAAAAACACATGCCATAAAAAAATTGAATTAACTGAATAAAAAGCAAAAATCTTTTTGGTTTGGTAAGGTTTGATTTCAAAAATCTAAAACTAAATGAATCAGACCTAACTGTAATATTAAATCCTATTATAGAAGACTAAGAAATACCTAAAATTAAGCCTATAGTCATAACCATAGTCATTGCCTTTCTTTTATAAGGACTAGTTTATTTTTGCAGAGGAAATCATGTTTTATAAAATTTTAAATTTTATGTTTTATAAAATCTTAAATTTTATTTGCTTGATTTTTTTAAATATATATATTTGAATCATTTTGATATTATGCTGTTGTTAAAATTAAATTTTAAAAAATAAAAAATATTATTTTTATATATTTTTAAATAATCTTATTTAAAAAAACAAATACTGAATGCTATCTAAATTGGAGGCCCCTCTCTCACTGCTCTCATGTTTTCTCTCTCCCCAAATCACAGCCGACTCCCTCTCACTCACTGTTGTCTCAATCTCTCTCGTTTTCTCTCCATCACCAGTTCTCTTTAAGACCACTCAAACTCTTGATATATTTACCAAATGATTTTAAATTCTTTTCTTGCCCAATACTCTTACGGTTTGGCCTTCGATTGGTGTAGTGGGTGCTAGCTATCAAGCTAAATATTTATTTGATTTTTTTAATCAAACGAAAAAATTAAAGTCCCTTTCATCTTTATTTTTGTTCTCATTTTTCTTATCGTTTTATAATACTTTTTGGAGGAAAAGTTGAGTGAAACGATTTGTTTAGAGACTAGTGCCGTGGAATTTACTGTTCTAGGACAAATGACACTTTGACTATTATTTCAAGTACCTTTCAGACAATATTTGGTTTTAGGGACAAAAAAATAAAATTGAAATGGTTTGTTTGTTTGTTTTTCATGGTTATGATCTAATAGAGCAGGCTTCTTAGAGGTTTATTCTGTGTTGTAATTATCAAAGATGGGATAGTCTGAGTTTCATACAGATTCATTACGCTTGTTCCTTTTTGGATGGAAGATTGTTCATAAGGTTTTGCCGGTTTGATGCAAAAAAACTAATTGAATCAAATTAAAATTGGTTGGTTTAAATTGAATTTGATTTTGAATCTTAAAAAAAAAAAAAAAAATTGGTTTAGTTGTTATTTCTTATTTGAAACAAAATTGAATTAGTTATTCCTTGATTAAAAAAAAAAGCAAAATGAAAACGAGCAAAAGGTTTTTATTTGTCTTTTAAAAGGTACAATATAGTAAATTGATCAAAGCCAACGATGAACATAATTTGAGAAACAAGGTACATAAACACAGGCCATTAAGCTGGCAATAACCTTACACCGCTATCATGGTACAAAAGCCGTCGGCGGCGGCAAATCCAAGGTCAAAGACAACAATTATTTGTAGTGTATAGCTTGTGCAATTGGCAATCGTCTAGTTATGGAATAACATGACCCTAGAACAATCAGGACGCAGGGACCCCTTCATTTTCTTTGCATTCCTCGACGGCTTGTTTCTTATGAGATAGGGGAATTAGTCCCTTTTCTCTGCATGTTTCCACAGCACCTACGACCATGTCCTCCAAGCTGTATTTGAACTCAAAACCCAAGTCCGTCAGCTTTTTGGATGAGAAAGCAACACACGGCAAATTCTCATCAATGTCTTTGAACCTGATCCAACAAGATTTAATTAATTAGGCCCAGAGAAAGAAAAGGATAATGACTATCAAGGGAAAGGATAATTTATGATTGTTTTAGGTGAGAAACTTACATTGCAGGGACATTGTATTCTGGGTATTTTTCTCTGAGTAATTTGGCAAGATCGTGAATGTTAGCATCATCCGAGTTGCAGATGTAGCGGCCCTCTGCTTTTGGATTCTCATACAAAAAGATGTGAGACATGCAGAGGTCATCCAAGTGCACATAATGTCCCTGCTTTATAATCCCATAATGAGCTTCATTTCCTGTTGCCGCAAGAAAAGTATTGTTCCCTATGTCATATTCAAGAACACTAATTTAATAATCATTACAAAAAAGGGTAGGAGATGCAGTACCGGTGATCAGTGAAAGCGCTGTCAGGAGACTTGGGGGCATTGATTGCATGATAAACGGGCCAACAACAAGAGTTGGTATGATGCTGATAAAATCCAGGTTATTTTCTTTAGCAAACTTCCATGCAGCTTGCTCTGCTAAAGTCTTGGACACGAAATACATCTGGTCCCCACGGTACGTTTAAAGATCTATACTAATTAGAAATTTCATGTTTTGATTTTATACAGCAAAGGAAAGAAACGGGGAATTAATTAGGTGCTTAATATAGTACTAACCCATCCAGTCATTTTTATCCTCTGAACAAAGTCCAAATCACTCCAGCAGCTTTCATCGTACACTGGTTTTCTCTTTTCTTCAACATCCACAGTTCCTGCAGATGACGTGAATATTATCTTTCTAACTGTTTTTGATTTGGCACATGCTCTCATGATGTCCAGTACTCCGTTGATTGTTGGCTTGATCACCTCGTTCTGCCAAAGAGGAAAAGAAATCTTATAACATTAATGATTTCACTGTAATTCCAAAATTGTTTACTAGCAATTACCGTTTTTTACCATTATATTTTGCTACCACGACATTAGCTTAATGAAGCAAAATACAATAGTCCAAAACATGCTTAAGCTACCGGCTATCAACATTTTTCCGGCGAATGATATAGTAGAGGAAATTAATTCCAGTCTTTCGTAAGCTGGGTAATCGCCTTTGGCAGAAAAACTGTTGGCATTTTCAAAGCTGGTACAGTTAGAAATCATGTATACCTCGGGGTCCTTGGACTCAAAATCCATGGGAGTGGCAACATGGAACACTCCTGTGCACCCTTGAATTGCTTCATCATAACTCCCCTCTACAGAAAGATCAGCTTTCCATAAAGTCAAGTGGGTTGATGCCTTTGGCAATTCCAGCAAATGCTTCACCTTCTTCATGTTGTCTGTCAGGGAGAAAATACAAGAGAAAATCATAAACCAAAGCTTTAATGAAACTGATGTATATGATGGTCGAAGGAGGCTGACCAGGGTCTCGGACGGTGGCTCGGACAGCATAACCTCTCTCTAGTAGTCGCATAATTAGCCATGATCCGATGAAGCCTGATGCACCTGTCACACACACTGTTTCAGCTTCTGTTCCCATCTTTGATTTTCAGGCAGATGGTGGAGAGAACTCGGGTCAGGTAGGAAATTGAAAGCAATGTCTGGTGTTTCTAATCTAGACAAGCTTGGTGGGGCTTCTCGGCATCGCTTGCTTGTCTCATAAATAGATACGTCCAGTTCTCGGGCCACCAATTTCAGTTAACTTTTCGGGTACGGCCTACCACGTATCAATTTTTAGTTAGCCATCAAGCAGATGATTAGCTGAGCTGACAGTCTTCCCTCGTGTATGAGGTGGATGCAGCTACACAATTTCCTGCCTCCATGACTTGGGCCTCTGCCATGTATATTCAATTCTTAAACGGCCAATTACGAGCTGTTCTAAGTTTTCCTAATTCAGCAAGGGAATTGTAAGAATGTATCCAAAAAAACATCGAATTATTTACGTGTGTCTGTTAATGCTGTGTGCATGTTGTAAAATTGTGTCTGAATTTAAAACGCATCAAATTAATTTTTAATACATACCAAGTAGAGTTTAGTAACGTAACCCAACAATGAAAAATTAAATGTTTTTGAATTTTTTTGTAAAATAGCTTTAAGAACAAGTTGTTTTACATTAAACGGATGAATGAAGGATAAAAATGTCTAAATGTGTCATTATCAAACATAGCTTAAAATAATACAAAAAAAAAACCGTAATAATATATATGGACCGTTGGATGGTAAGATCTGGATCCAGCTACTTGCATGTGTTATTAGAGCTTTTCTTATCATGTTTTATTAATTCTTAACACTACTCGTTTAATAATTATTCTATTTGGGTTGTGATATATAAACGTTGTCTTTGTTTGTCAGCACAATGTATATATTTTATAGAGTTTCATGGATATGAGAAGTAGTGCTGTTTCGAAAACATTCCTGGCCAAAAAAATAAAATATATTACATATTTGCAGATTTTATAATAAATAATGAACTTTTGATGCTCTGATATAGTTTAAATTGTAGATTTTAATTTGAAGCTTTTCCACCATCAATATAGCAAGGGGTCAAGTTAGATTTCCATGTAGAAGAGCTGTGTGTGTGTGTGTGTGTGTGTGTGTGTGTGAGAGAGAGAGAGAGAGAGAGAGAGAGAGCGGGAGGGAGGGAGGGAGGGAGGAGAATTAACATAATAATAATAATAATAAAAAAAAAAAAGATGGGGACCCGCATCCATATCCGTCATTGTAGTCGCTCGGAGCGAGCCTATGCGGACTTCCTTTTCGTAGCCGTTGCTTTCTAAATATTTAGAAAAAATCATTTAGCCTATGAAATCTAAGATTTTCTAACGTCCCTAAAGTATTCCAATAGTTTCAATATTACCCAAATCATACAAGTAGTTAAGAAAGCTCCTTTTTCATCATTTAAAAAAAAAAAAAAAAAGTCTCTCATTCCATCCTTCCCTGAGATTCTATCCATGTGGTGTGATATTTCATCGAAATAACAAGGAAATTAAAGCACTAAAAAAAATAATTCAAAAGTGGAATCATCCGTTATCATCTTCTACATTAGAATCATGAGTGCTAAATTAAAAATTTTATGAATTATATAGAGATAGCATTGAAAAACTCGATTAATGGGGTGGAATTGACACATAAATAGTACAGAAAGAAAAATTCCAATGAAAAAGACACACTTCATCATGAAATAGAATATAGCGACCATGACCATGCTTGGTGGAAAAATAAAATTTATTTCAAATAATGTAAAGTTGGTGTTTATTTATGTGATGGTGATATTTGTTTTTTAAAAAAATTATTTTTTTATGTTTTTTTAGATGGTTTTAATATATTGATGTTAAAAATAATTTTAAAAAATAAATATATATATTATTTTAATACATTTTCAAATAAAAAATATTTAAAAATATTTATAATAATATCAAATACCATCACAAAGCCATTAACCCACCTACTTGAACTTGATTGATGAAAATTTGTTTATTTTTATGTTTTAATATAATTTTTTTTAAAAATTATTTTTTATTTTATTTTAAATTGATATTTTTTTA